GGAAGACCCTTGACGAGATGGATCGATTCAGTGATTGGGATAATGGGAGTAGGTATATTAGAGATAATGAGGTTGGCACAGGATAGAGCAGGGTTCAAAGCTCTTGTACATAGGGTCGTTATAAGGTGCAAGCGCCTCAATGGCACATAACAACAACAACATTATAAACTCTGTCCTCAGGGGTCCACACATGCCCTCTGAGATGTACTTATCTACGCGCTCGACTATGACACTATCTCATCTGCCATCTGGACATTAAACCTGACACTGCTACACATGCTGTGGAACAGTGAGCTTGGAGGGGATGAGGAAGACCAAGTAGTTGCCAGATCAGGCTATATTCAGATCAGGCTATTTTCTTCCCTTAGCATATCCTCCTCAGAAGTAGTCTGTATATGAGATATGGGACGAGAGAATGCTAGGGTTCATCTGTTCACTTCTAGAAGTCCCAATCCCTTGGCACAGGGATAACATCAGAGGCTACAAAGTAAATTATGCCCAACATGTAACTTCTTTTCCAATTAGAAACCTGAGGTAAATAAAATGTGGATCCCTGCAGAAATTGTTGCCTTAGGATGAGGACAATCCAAGTGGCTGCCACTGAGCAATCCTCTTAAATCATACAAGCATACTTCCATTCACAGAAGGTAAAGGAGGAGGGCAAATTGTTAACACTGTTCATCTCGTCTCAGATTACCTCACAGTAATGGACAGATGCCTCATCCATGGGCCCTGATAACATAGGATTTGTTAATTCCACCAGTCAGACCAATTGCTGGATCTCTGAGCATACACAAGACAATGAGCCATTACTCCACAACATTCCAGACCATCTGTCAACAAAGTGGGCTGTGTTAACCGACTGGATACACGACTTGTTATACTGAGGAGATGTGCAGACTCCACTACTTGTAGAGAACATTTTTTAAACTACCAAAAATATCGGTAGGGAGGAAATTTATTTTTTCTTTTTAAAAAATTTATTATTTTTTGTGTATGTATCATCAAATCAGATCTGACTGGTACAGGAGGAAATTGTCCCTCCTTCTCCAGCAGAACACCTGGTGGATTTGAACTGCACACCTCTGGGATTGCAGTAGGAAATTTCTTTCTATGGAAAATTTATACTGCAAGGTCAGATAGGCAGATAGTTCCCAGTAACTAAACAATATAATTAGATTTATGTGAGGATGACACTTTCAGCCCAAGTTAGTATTATTCTGGACACTGGTAAATTTGCAGAATTTGTCCAATGAACACTTATTAACTAAGTCTGGATTAGGCTGTTTCAGCAATGGTCCTACTATGGTCGACTATACCACCAAGATAAAGAGTTTTTAATATTACTTGGACTAGAAAGTGTATTATTTAAACCACATGTTACATTGGGAGAAAGAATTTATTTTTATATAAATGATTCAACACATGTTGCAACTAAACGATTTAAGAGAAGTAGTTAGACAAATATTAGACAAATGTAACCCTTTGATCAATTCAGTGGTCCAGATTAAGCAACGATTGGTTGGTTGCAATCAATATGCCATTGATTCTGACTGACTCTCAGTGATCCCATTTGACAGCTGAACTACATTATAAGGTTTCCTAGGAGTAGTCTTTCTGGAAGCAGACCATTTTTTTCTCCCATAGAACTCTTGGTGGACTTGAACAGCCAATCTTTTGGTTAACACCCATGTGCTTAATCACTGAGTCACCAAGATTCTCGTCCTACTGTTGCTGTGCAATTGCTTCACATATATTTGAAAGTTAGGCAATCAATAAGGAAGATCAAAAAATAAATGTCTTATAGTTGTGATGATGGCAAAGAGTAATGAACATCAAGGGACTGTCAAAAACACAATTTATCTTAGAGGAAGTGCAAGCATGGTGCTTCATAAAAGCAAGGATGGTGAAACTTCAGCTGACATATTTCAAGCATGTTGTCAGGAAACATTAGTCCTTGAAAAGACATCACTCTTGGAAAAGTGGAGCATTATGGACTGACACAGTGGCTGCAAAAATGGGTTAAGCATGGGAGATTAAAAATAAGTAAGTTTCTCTTGGAAACATGGGCTTGGTGACAGGAATGAGGCTGGAGATAGAATGATTGAATTTTGTAAAACCAATGACTTATTAATTGCAAATACATTTTATAAGAGACACAAACGCAGGTTATACACATGGACTTCACCTGATGGTATGCA